TTGTCAGTCAGCTCGACTCTCACTGGAGAAACGAAATCTGATCTGTGATGCGACTGTCGTTCGGCACGCTGCATTTAGCAGCCGCGTTCAGTTTTTAATTGTAGTGTCTGTTCTTCTACTGAACTAAATTATTTTTATTACTATAAAAAATCAAAACGACAGTGGGGGTCGGTGCCGCGGTGGGCAAGTGACGTAACCGGTGTTGTGGCTTAACACCGGTATCACCGTCAGCACCGTCTATCGCGGCAAGCCTATACTGTACCTATAACAGAGCAAACAAATGTTCCAGTGCAAATCTCCAACCCATTCTCATGAGTCAGGAGCTCCAGAGTAAAGGGTCGTTCACACTGACCAGCGATTCATTTCATTTAAATGTTTTAATTTTATAATGAGATTTGGGGATGTAATGCGGCCATTTCAAGTAACATGTAAAGTTGAGTAGAGTTGAGCAGAGTTTAGCTTTATGCAAATGTTAAGCGACACAATGGACTCAAAAATCATATATTTTTTTTTTTATAATTTCATTTTTTTTTAAATGTATTGTACATTTATAAAACTATACTTTGTGTAATATTACCTTGTCATTAAATGACAGTTTCTAATACAATGACAAATCAATGTAATCAATGTAATCAATCTATCCATATTTTTTTCCCTCTTTTGGAAATCATATAAACACTTTTGTGGTTTGTAAGGTCATATCTCACATTTAAATTAGAAGAAAAAAATTACAAAGTTTACAAAACAGCTAAAACTACTTACAGCACATTTGAGTTTTCATTGCAATTTCATTGCAATTTCAGGCAATTCCAATCATCGATAAACATTAATCTTGTTCATGATATAATAGATTATATACAGCTGCTTTACCCTATATCATAAAACATTATTATATTATATTATATTATATGATATTATATGATATAATTATATTAGCTACTGTGGTTTACAAGGTCATATTTCACATTTAAATAAAAAAACTGCTAAAACTTACAACACATTTGATTTTATAATGCAATTTTAATTGCAATTTCAGGCAATTCCATTCATTGATAAACATCTTCTTCATGATATAATGCATTATATACAGCTGCTTTCCATTATATTATATTATTATTATTAATATTATATTATATTTACTAATAATACATCTAATTTGTGGTTCAGATTTTCAAAAACTATGGCCGTT